ATTACAAACAATGCTGATATGAACATAGCTGAACAAGTGCTCTTATGGTGTGGTTGAGCATTTCTTGGGTATATGCCCAACAGTCCAATTAAGAAATGGGCTATAGAACTAAACAGAGAATTCTCAACAGAGGAAACTCAAATGGCCGAAAGACATTTAAGGAATTGCTCATCATCCCTAATCATCAGGGAAATGCAAATCAAAACAACTCTGAGATACCACCTTACGCCTGTCAGAATGGCTAAGATCAAAAACACTGAAGACACCTTATGCTGGAGAGGATGTGGAGCTAGGGGAACTCTCCTCCACTGCTGGTGGGAATGCAAGCTTGTACAACCACTTTGGAAATCAATATGGCGCTTTCTTAGAAAATTGGGAATCAATCTCCCCCAAGATCCAGTTATGTCTATATTTTATTAACGATTTCATACATGCATCCTTTTGATATTTGATCACATTCACCCCGATTTTTCTGCTAATGACTTCCAGATCCTCCCATACCTCTTCACCTCCTCTTTCTTATTTTTTTAAAATAACTTTCCAAGTTCAATTTGTGCTGTCCATACACTCATGGATGTAGAGTCATTCATTGGAACATGGGATCTGTTAACTGTAATAATTTAGGGGTAGATAGATATTAATTCAGAGGAAGTTTGAGACTATGACATTTAGCAGAATAATTGATAGCAGGTTCACCCTGGGGGACTGTGAGCTCCTCAACCATGGGTTCTTGACCAAATTAACAGTACTTTGCATGCATTTCCTTATGTGGAGTAGACCTTAAATCCAATCAGAAAGCAGTGGTCACCTCCATAACATTCCTGCCTCTATTGCACATGTGGACATATCTTGCTGTGCTGGTCATATTGTAGTTCACAGTGTTCACAGCTGGGCAAGAAGTTGATGACTTTATTCCTCCAGCAGCCTATGCAGCACTTTCTGGTACTACAAAAGCTAGGCAACAGGGATGAAGCTTTCAGCTTGATTTCTCCACATCATTTGTCCAAAGTGTTTGGTATCTTCAGCAGTAGCTCTTACTATCAAGTTCTGATGGACAACAAAGAACAGTGACAATAGCCTATATTATTTGGGGGGCCTCCAGGTCATCCTAATGAACAGCTACAGGGGAGTATCTCAAACCTACCACTGGATAATTCCAGTTAACCTCCTTTATATGAATATATATATGTATGTATATATACATGTATATATAAACATACTCTTGTATAAATATATACTTATAAATATAGACATGTTCATACACATATATAGACACATGTGTCTATGCATTCATATATATATATATATATATATATATATATATGAATGATGCCTAAGGAATTATAGGTTTCCGTATGGCTTTTTCAAACATCCTTGGTGTTAGTTATCCCTCTCCCTATCCCTTCCTCTGTCATACCAACCTACTCACCTAATTTCAAATGAAAATACTTAAAGGCAAACAAAGGAACAGGAAACAAAAGAAACAGTGAAAGCAGTCATGTCTGGGACTCCAAAAGAAAAGGATGATAAATGTGATCACATTTGAAAAAATAACATTTAAAGTTAAATGTACAAAGTAAAAAGTAAAATAAAGTAAAAAGGAAAGTAAAAACAAACTAAAGTAAAAAGAAAATATGACAAAATATTTTTATAACACATAAAGGTGAATTTATGTAATATACAGCTTCTATAAATCAGTAAAAACAGAGAGAGAGACCGACAGAACCTAGTAACTCAATCCTAAAATGGGCAAAGAAAATGAACAGTCATTTCACAGAAAATGCAAATAGTTCTTACATATATGAAAAGAAGTTTAACTAGATAATAAAAGATAATTGCACTAACAGAAATTCACATTAAAACTAATCTTAGATATCATTTCCCACCCATCACAAGTGGAATATTTCAAAAGTAAAATTGCACCCATGTTGTCAAGGTGATGAGGTGCTGATACACTGTTGGGGGGGGGGGGGGTACTGGCCCTTCTAAAGGAGCCTGTCAGTATTTATCAGAATTTCAGATGTACATAGGATCTTAGTGATTCCATTTCTATGAATCCAGTATATAATCGCATCTGTATAAACTTCTGTATGTGCAAAGTCCATCACCAAAACACGGCTGGTAGCAGGAAAAGATCAGAAACCCCTTAAATGTCTATCAGGTAGGGAGTTAATGAGCTGTCAAAAAGAATGAAGCAACTATTTGTTGAGAAAAAGTTACTCCCAAGACATAGAAGAATTTTAAAAAAGGGGGTCAGACCTGAACAGTATGATTAGGGTATTACCATTTTGGAGTGGGGACACTATTTCCTTGTTTATATACAAACTGTCTCTGGAAAAGTACATGCCAACCTGACAGCAAAACTGTATGATTGCCGGATGGAGTGGAAGGGGTAATTTCCACTGTAAATTATGTCATGCCTCTTAACTTCGGAACCATATGTGTCAATCAATTAAAATTCACCTGCTGGTAATTTAAAGTGAAGTCATATTAGCCACCTGGTGTGAGAATGCCAGATTTGAGAGACAACTAATGCCATACCCAAGTGGTTGTCAGTAGGGCTTGGCTCTAATTCTTACTCCATCACCAGCTTGCCAGCCAGCCTTGCACAAGCCTCCTCCCTACTCAGGGCTGATTGGAGAGAGGTCAGAGGGCCTGATTTCCAAGGCCTTTCTGTCTCTGGCAGTCAGAGCTATAAATTGCAGTTTTTCCTCACACGTTTCTCAAGTCATCTCTCTACCTCTTCCTTTCCTCTGCAGCTCATCAAAAGCTCAGAGGAAAAGACAGACAATCGAAGAAAATAAAATTGCAAAGATGACTTTTATGGGCTCCTGTTGGATCATTGTGTATTCCTCCTCCAAAGCCGAAAATGATGAGTTTAATATCACACAGAGAACTGCATCTTGTTGCCCTCAGAAGACAGTGTATGCTACCCAGAGAACCAGGAGCTCAGCAAGACATAATTCTTCGCTCCAACTCTGAGGCAAATGAAATGACAGTCATCAAGCTCACATTCTAGAAGCAACATGGATTTTATTTGGCTGTAACTTCATTTGAAAGTGTCCCAAGGAGGGAGAATCCTCCCACATGTGGACTTTTCTTCTTTCCCAGGTCTATAAAGCAGAACAAAGATGGTTAGGTGACCAGGCTTGGCAAGTGTTGGTCACAGAGGACAAGTCAATTTTGTCAGGTCCCAGTTATTCTGTGAGCTCAGGCAAATCTTCTTCATATTTAGGGCTTTGTTAATCTCAGGAGAATTGGGGTGTGTGTATGTGTATGTGTGTGTGTGTGTGTGTGTGTGTGTGTGTGTGTGTGTGTGTGTGTGTGTGTGTGTGTGTGTACATTTAGTTGACATGTAAAAAGAGGAGAATCATTATATGTGAGAGACACTGAAGATCTAATGTCCTAAAACTCCTCCTGTTTCTGCCAGTCTGTTGTGGTGTCTGGTGTCATCTCCTGGTGTCTTTTGTACCATCTTTCTGCCAACAGTTCTGAGCATCCTGCAACTTACAGGCACTAAGCCCTTCATAGACAACTCCCCATCTTCAGGGAATTTAATAAATAATATCACATCAAGCTAGGAAGTGTCTTAATTATGCAAGCAGAGAAAGTCTCAGCAATGTCATTTACAGATTACAAAGCCTCCCCTGCCATGAACTATTTTTTGTTGTTTGTTTGTTTGTTATTGGGGAAAGATGTGACATCATAAGAAAAGGTTAAATGAAAGAGCTAATTAACACTTGATGTGCAAAACTTCTAGGCTGGAGCCTAACATGCCTTAGAGATGCACAAAGTGAGGGCAAGTGCTACTACTATGTTTGCTTCCTCGTATAACCCTGAGGTTAGAATCAAAATACGTATTTTTCAGATTAAAAATATCCCCTAGCCAACTACCCAGGGCTAGTGAAGTCACTATAGCCACCACTTCCAAAATACATTCTAAGTATTTGCCCTAGACCCGCAGAAAAGTGGAATCCTTACCCCGCCCTCATCGAAGACACTTCTCTTTACAACAGATGGAGACCATTATAGAAAACTACAATCAATCAAAATGCAGAGTTATGGAGTCCTGATGGATAGATACATCTATAAAACATTCCAGCACCTAATGCTCAGGGATTGTTGCAGAAGAGGGAATGGAAAGATTTTACGAGCCAGAGGATCAGGGAGTTTGCTGTGAGACTCTCTCTCCCTGCAATGTCAGAAGCTACACCCATAAAGTGTCACCAACATGACTGCCTAAACATGAGCTGAACAAGAACAACAATAGATATGCCGAATTGGACAGGGGCAAAGCTCACAAGGCTTTAATCCTAGATGAAGATCTACAGGCGACTAAAAAATTATAGAGTAGGAGAAATTGTCTTCCCTAGGGAAGAACACACTAATACATACACATGCATGCATGTAATAACAACTAATGAAAAAAAGAGAACATGAATTTGAAAGAAAGCAAGGAGAAGTATAGGGGAGGATTTGGAGGGAAGGAAGAGGGGAGAAATGATGTAGTTATAACCTCAAAATAAAAGAAAAAAGTTGGGTTTTTGTTTTGTTTTGTTTTAAATCCTAATGGTCACAGTGGGAGCACAATTTACACCAGGCTCGCAGCTAGAAATGAACGTTTAGACAAAATTGCACAAATGCCCAATGTCAATACAATAATTTCCTGGAAGATATTTCTTATTTATCAGATAAAAAACTTCTCATAATGTCTAATCATGTTCTGTGTAAGAAATTTAGTTAAAAATGCAACAAAACCCTCCTTTCTCTGAGACCTCTAAAGGACATGCTACCAGTAGCACTTTCTGACACTGAGGACACATTAGTTTAAAATGAATAGAAATCGATTCTCGCCTGTCTCCTGTCCTCCAATCACATTGCAATTAGCTGCCAAGTCTGTCGATGCACAGGGCCAGCTGAAAAGGGTGTGTGCGGCGTGGTTTCCTTTACGGCGGCTCTGCAGTCCTAGCCTTCTCATTTGTTATCCCTTCTCTCAACAGAAAACAAGCCTGGAGTTCTATATTGACATCCACGCCCACTCCACCATGATGAATGGCTTCATGTATGGCAATATCTTTGAGGATGAGGAACGGTTCCAAAGGCAATCCATTTTTCCAAAGCTCCTTTGCCAGAATGCGGAGGACTTCTCCTATGTAAGTCAAAAGGTCTCAGTTAGCTAGGATGCTTCTGCACCTCTTCCCATCACACCTTTCTCTCCTTCTTCAGGTTCATTTTCATTTGGCCTGTCCGGTCACCTGGTGCTTGTTTAGTGAGTCTGACTTCAGCATTAACAAGGCAAAGAAACTCATCAAGTGGTCTTCCTCTTTCGTGCCTAGCCACTAGTCTGTTTTCATTTGTCCCAGTGCTTGTAGCAGGAGAACAATGTGTCTGCTCAAGGGATTATATACCCACCATTCTCATCTTCCATGACTTTCTTGGCCCCAATTTCTTTGACGGTAATTGGTGGGTATATCTCTTTTTATCCTGCCTGCACCACAGCTTCCTAGGCAAACATGTGCAGCTATAGATATGAATGTCCCTTGCAGGCAGAAAAGACCTCGACAACCTCCCAAGACACGCAAGGTGGGTGGGATGGGCCAGGAGGGGGCAGTTAGAAATTTTGTAGCACAAAGCAATATTAAAAAAAAAGAGCAGGGAGAAAAGATGAGGAGGGACATCAGCACGCACGGTTGAGACATGTGGTTGATTTTGCTCATTTTTCCTTTGTTTTGATACTAAATCTCTGGGCCTTGTTACTGCCATGTGGCCAGTCGAGAAGAGGCCCACAGAGGTCACAGCAATTTTTGAAGTTGATGAGCTGAAAACTCACCTGCTCATTGCTTCAGGCTGGACATTAGTGAGGATGATGAATTTCTCTGTGTGGTAAGATGCACTTTGAATTACAGAATCTTTGGATGGCAGACCAAGAAAGGAATTGGGGGTTGTTAAGCACAGTCCTTTTTTTTTTATATCCAAGAGAAACCTATGGACCAGAAAAGTTGAGCATCTACTGTCAAGTCATCTAGAATTTAGGTAGCAGAATCAAATGGGTACCTGTCCACCTGCAAGCTATGGGACAAAAACAGCCATTTGTTCCTATGGGAACCTGTACAGTCTTGGCAGCCTCCAGTTCTTTGGAAGGTGTGCCTTAGGTCTTAGAGGTGCCCACAGGAGTGAGGGTTCCTGGATCTACAGACCAGACATCATCTAGGCCATGTTTTGGGTCCCGGTGATGTTTCTGTATCCCAGCCTCCTTGGGAGCTCTGGGCTGCCATCAAGGTCATCTGTCCTGGTCCCATTCCTGTCACTGCTCTGAGTCTCAAGAATTACCTCATAGTCTCCAAGGCTTTTGCACTGCAGAACCTGTAACTTTTTCATAGTTTCCTTCGTCTATACTACACAGAAAAGGAAACTGAGGTACACCCAAAGGACAAACTGACAGCTGTCGAATAGTGGGGAAGCAGAACTTGTGTTTCTGAATAGAAGACCCAAGTCTGGCCTGCTTACCCCTCTCTTTGCTCACCCTGATGGGTGCTGCCGGTGTCTTACAAAAAGAGCATACACAATCTCCCTAGCTCATGCTGGCCATGAGTTCAGTTCTCTCTAGTGAGGTGGAGAACACAGGGATCCCTGGAACCACTTAGTCCTGACTTCACATCTGTACTGTTGTACTGTTTAACTCACTTGTACAGCTGTTGAGTCTCAGATTCCTCATCTGTAGAATGATGAAACATGAACGCCTGCCTACTTAAATGGGTTCCTTTGAAGCTAAAACACGATACTACCTAGGGAACAGTATCATCAAGTTGAACATTTCATTCTGATTATGATCATATTAGAGTTTCTTCTTGCCTCCTGTCTGCTTTTCACTCCTCTACCAGCCCCACTCAGATTCCTACTGGTAGCTGTGCCCCAAGAACCCTGATGGATACTTTCATTCAATTACATTTGTTGACTAATCAGTCCTCATAATAACTGAGATGGTGAAGCAGATCCCACTTTTCAGATGATGAAACTGAGAAGTGGAGGTGTTGTAAGACTTGCTCAACATCTAAAAGCTGGCGTGGGGCATCCAAGTCTGATTCTCTCTCTTCCCAACTTTCTCTTTCATAGACTAGCACATCCTTCAACCGGGATGCTGTGAAAGCAGGAACTGGCCGTCGCTTCCTTGGTGGACTCCTGGATCACACTTCATACTGCTATACCCTGGAGGTTTCCTTCTACAGTTACATCATTGGGGGTACTACAGCTGCTGTGCCCTACACTGAAGAAGCCTGTATCCTTGTCAAGTCTCTGCTATCCCTAGATCAGCATTTGTCTAGCCGGGAACACCAAATCTGGAAGGATTTACGAGGCAGGTCAGGAGTTTGGTGAGGATGAATGTGGCAGGTTCTATTAGCAGTGTCTCTGACCTTCATGCACCCTTCATATGGAACATAGACATCTTCTCAACTGCCGCTTCCAGGCTCCAAGTCTTCCTTAGGTCCCCGGACCCATGGCCTTCCCACTGTTTCTGCTGTTCTTGTCTTTCTCTTTGCTCCTCCCCCACTTTCTCTTTTCTCTACTCACACTTTCTTCCCTCTTCCCCCACTCCTCTTACCTGTCATTCCTCAATAATCACATTCTTTTCTCTCCCTACTTATTACCCCTCCCCACCCCCTTACTTACTCTTCTTTTTCTCCTTCCCAGCCACTTTTCTCTCTTCTTCTAACCCCCCTGGCCTACCCACCCCAACCCTCTGCCTTTGACAAGTTGCTTTTCCCCCTAGTTTCCCCAAAATTTCTCTTAAGTTCATCATGGTGAACACTTGAGTTACTTTTTACCTTGCTTGACTTCTTCTTTTTTTTTTTTGGTTTTTCGAGACAGGGTTTCTCTGTGTAGCTTTGCGCCTTTCCTGGATCTCGCTCTGTAGACCAGGCTGGCCTCGAACTCACAGAGATCCACCTGGCTCTGCCTCCCGAGTGCTGGGATTAAAGGCGTGCGCCACCACCGCCCGGCGACTTCTTTTTTAAAAGGAAATGTATTCACGAATTTTAGCTTATTTCAAACTCACATTATTGGGTCTGTAGCAGATTCTGGTAGAAGCTGTTAACGCTTATCCTTTGAGTTTTAAATTGATTCATTTCTCATTTCTAAACTTGTAGTTTTATCTGAGAAAGAAGTATAGTTGAGAAGACTTGAAAAAGGATAAGGAGAGGATAAATTCTGTATACAATTGGCCCTCAATGTGCCAAGATGGTTGGGAAACTGAAGTCCTCTGGTATTCTAGTCCCTTATGTATATATAGTGTTATAGTATTTGCATTTATTCCTCAGCCATCCTCCTGTGTCCTTCAAGGTATACATGCATTAGTTTTTTGAGGCAAGGTCTCTATGTAGTTCTGCCTATCCTCAACTCACTACATAGACATGGCTGATCTAGAACTTACAGAGATTCACCTGCCTCTGCCTCCCAAGTACTGAGATTAAATACTGGACCACCATGCCTGGCCTTAATGTCTATTTTAAATCACCTCTAGATAGTATAATATCCAATGCACTGTAAATGCTGTGTAAATCATTGTTATACTATATTGTTTGGGGAATAATGACAGAAAATTGTCTGTACATGGTCAGTACAGACTCAGTTTTTTAAACTATTTTCTACCTTTGGCTAGTTGAATCTTTGGATGCAGAACCCATAGATATTGAAGGCCCATTCACTACATGTGCAAATTATCCCTTCCCCAAATTAAAGTGCTCACATTAGCCTTCTATAACTCTTGGTGAATAGTCATGGAGTTCCTATCGTAAGCTGTGTGGGGAAATCGCTTATGTTAGTGGCATGACTTTAGACCCAGCCTACTGAAGCTTTAGTGGGACCCAGTTACATTTCTGGGAACTTGAGAGGGGGCGGGGGCTAGCAAGGAATAGGCCAGGTAGGTGGTAGATCAGTGTTTCAGATGCCATAGAACCTTAGAGAGATCATGACAAGAACTGAGTGTTCTCTCTACAGTCTCCAAGACTGAGACCATCATCTAAAAATGTGATACAGTATCTTCTGGCTCAGCAAGGCCAATGAGGCAGAGGAGCCATGGCTTCCCAAAGTATAGCCATCTCTTAAATGCCATACTGCCCCTTGATACCCTCCCCTTGCCATCAACACATCATATGGTGTGATCCTCTGTCTCTTTAGGACATATGAAGGTCATTTTCACACCACATGTGCTTTGCTCTCCTACAATATTGTGGCAAGGGAGCTAATAGGAATGTTTTAGAAGTGTGAGCATATGAATTAAAGGGGATTCTAAACCCATTTCACATGAGACACAGGTCTCTCTGGAGGATGCTGCAATTGGTTGGTTTGTCATTGCTTGCTGATGCCCAATTTTATGGGTTCTCCCACCTTTCTCTGAACTTCTGGCATGATTTGCTGATAGAAATTTTATTTTAGTAAAACACCCATTGTCAGCTCAGAGTTTCTGTCCCTTAACACTCAACTCTCCTTCACGAAAAATAAATACATATTAGTGTGTACCAGGAATCAAACCCAGAACCTGGGGTAAAATATTGGAAAAAAAAAGAGTACTCTAGGACTTTCCTTCTACTTGGGGAGACAGAAAAGAGAAGAGATAATTATAATATACATGATAAGCTTAGTGATAGAGGAATTCTGGAAGGGTAAGGGACACTTAACATTTAAAAGTCAGCATGGTAGCACACACTTGTAATCCTAGCACTTGGGAGACAAAGACAGGAGGATCATGAGTTTGAGGCTAGCCTGGGCTACAAAACAAATTCCAAGATAGTCTACAAGAATCTCTTTCAAAAGCCAATACTGCTCCTCCTGCTAATAATGATTATGGTGTGTGTGTGTGTGTGTGTGTGTGTGTGTGTGTGTGTGTGTGTGTGTGTATGTGTGTTTATGTGTATAAGTGTGTATAAATATGAGTAAGTGTGTGGAGGTGAGTGTATGTAAGTGTGTATGTGTGAGTGACATTGTGAATGTTTAAGTGTGAAAGTGTATGTGAGTGTGAGAGTGTATGTGTCTGAGTGTGTGTGTGTGTGTGTGTGTGTGTGTGTGTGTGTGTGTGTGTGTGTGTGTGTGAGCGTGAGCATGAGCGTGCACGGAGTTCCAGCTAAGGGCCAGGTCAAGTTCTAGATATAGGGTAGCAGTAATTAAAAACATCTTTACAGGAAATGAGGGAGAACTCAAAATGATCTTGAGAGTCAAAGAAGTCTTTCTCATGAAAGGCTTATCTAAACTATGCTTTAATATTAGTCCAGTGGGACTGGAGTGTGTTACTGAAGGCAGAACATGGCATACAGAGGGGCAAGGAGGAAAAGTACGCATGTATAGCAAGAGTATAACTGGTCTGGTTTGGGCAAAGGCCTTCAGATACAGGAGAGAAGTCTAGATTCACAGGCTGAAAGAAATCTGAACTTAAATAATAGATAATGAAGCACAAGAGATGTATTATAAATAGTGGGATGTCACCCTGGCTGCACCGAAGGCAGAGACATGCAGTAGGAGGTTGTTAGGACAATCCATGTGAGAGATGCTTCAGGTCAATACTAGGTGATGGGTGATGGCCACAAGATATTTAAATATGGGACCGAGGAGATGCAGGACCTGCATTAGTGTTCACAGGAGCTAGGGACCAGAAGGAGTCAGTGGTGAATGGAGAAACTGCATCAACTTCCAGCTCCTAGAGCCACCCTGCTTGTCAGTTAGGGGAGAAGAGGAGCCTGGAACTGACCAGGGAAGCATAAGCCAATTTGGTACGTTTGAGGGTGATTTAACCTGGTTCCTCTTTGATATACATTTTTTTTTTTAGACTCATCTCATAACAGAGGGAGAGCAGGCAGACAGATTGTGATCTTTGTTGGCTGCTGGCTCTGTGTCCCAATCAGAAAAAGAAATTACATGGTCTGATGGGAATGGCAATATGGTCTGGGAGGAAGTGTCCTCTAGACTAGGAATCAGGAGACCTGATTCTGACGACAGCACCGGCTTTGTCCCAGACAGTGCCCTTCAGCGAGTCCTCTAGGCTCTGTGAGGTGACTTTATCTTTACAAAGCGACTGAGGACTTCCTGGCTTTCCTATCCTGCTGTGGGACTCAGAAATACACACAAAGAACTAAGCGCTGTGCCTAGGACAGACTTTCTCTTCATACACATCAGGGTTTGAATCTTGCCTCAGCCACATAGTAGGTGGGCCACTTGGAACAGGTTACGTAACATCACTGGGCCTCGGTTTCTTAATCTGTAACTGGGAGGTATACCTCAGTTTCTTAATCTGTAACTGGGAGGTATAATGTTTATCTGGTTCTAATGATACTGAGGGAAATAATTCTATACATTTTCAAAGGTCTCCCCCATGGCTAGTGGTCTTTGGCACTCTGGCCTGTCCATGTTGTAGCAAGAATACAGTTCTGGTGTCAGCGTTCCAGGTGAGAGTTCTGTTTTAACCCAGTTATATACCCACTCTAATCCTCAGTCCTTCGTCCGTAAAGTGAGAATAACTGTGATTTGCCTCTCACGGTTGTAAGGGTTACATGGGGAAGGCTGTGTTGTCACGACCAGATGAGTCACCATGCCACATGCTCAGTGATGTTAGATATCATTCTCTTGCCTTTCCTTCCTGTCATTTGTTGTCCTTTTGCTGCTGTGAAATGATAGATTCCTGATACTTTGGGGCTCTTCTTCAGTAAGTCCTATTTACATTTTATTGGCTCGACAACTAGTAAATATGCTCTGTTCAGAAGATTTAAGGAGAGAGAGAGAAGGATAAACTGGAATCATAAAGTAACCCCAGTGCTTCTCTGGCCTTTGTTTATGGTCTGGTTCCAAGCCCAGAGGAAACAGCTCTTTAACATAATGGATGAGAAAAATATTGGGAACAGCAAGCGATCCTGGGTCCTGAGCAGACTCGTTTCCTGTGGCTGCGGCCATACTGAAATCAGGTAATGCTGGCTCTGAGGAAAGGTACAGCTAGCCATGGGAAGAGAGCAGGATCCTGTCAGCTAACCGATCTCAGTTCAGACCTCACTGTCTCCCTTGCAGTGGGTCCTCTGAAATGTTTAACAGACTCTGAAGATCTCATTTATTTACTCATCTGTCCAACACAACTCATTAGATGTTGGAAAGCGACAGGAATAAGGCATAGTCGCTGTCTCCAGGAAGGAGAGAGAACAAGGGTAAGAGACGGCAGCGTCGAGGAGGATAAATGTCCTGCCAAAGGAAAGATCTGCTGGTCTTGGGAAAAGGGGGCAGCAGGGAGGAAAGAAGAAATTC